ATTTCAATAAACTGCATAACATTGTAAATGATTGTAATTCGAGTTTTAAATTTACCAATCTAATTTTATACCTGAGGACGGTTAAATATAACCGAAACATGTCGTAAGAGACGTTCCAATTTGTAAATGGATCATTCGATGCGGAACGTGAAATGATATTTTAAATATTTTATATTTTATTATCTTATTATTAAAAATTGTGATTTGACAGAAAATACGTATTAAAATATTAACCTAATTCACAATATGACGCAAATATACTACCTTATAAAAAATGTAGTGTTACCTGTTGTTCTGTACACAGTTCAGGTTCTCGGTCGTTGACAAAATAATTAAATGATTCGCATTCACGAGGACCATTTGCCTTTGCGATGATATGGAGAGAGTATAATGAATGTGTTAGTCCTCATTTATAAACTTCCGATTCACAAGTCAAAAAAAAAAATGTTTTTCCAGGTCTGGAAAAATTTGATAACCGAGTTTTGTAGGCTCTGTTCAGAACTATTGTTCCACATTCACATGTCTGGACCCTTAAGTTCCTCTTTATGTGAGTGAAACACGTGCTCTTGTGAGGCTAAAGCATGAAGGGTATGTATGAAGATGAATGGAGTGTTGGTGATATGACCATCAGTAGGCCATTATGAATCTATTAGCCTGTTATACGGTACAGGATGGTAGCTTCCATTGTCCTGGTTGTATTCAGCGGGAACCACTATCAAGTGTCAGAAAGCAGTTTGCGAACTACACCTTTGATACCAGTCCTACACTCCGTGAACATCAATCTTGTTTCAATTAACAAGAGCACCATTGAACACTTCAATCAGTTGAAGCGATACCCGATGTAGGTTAAATAAAATAAAACTGTCACCCGGTATCGGATTAACATCGCGTTCATTTATTTGTGATTAAAAACTTGTAGCCAGTGTTATGAGAAGTCAGAAGGCAACGAGAAACCAACACTAAAGTCACTCATTTCTTATCTATTATTATTCTATTATGACTATTACTATCGTTATCATTATCATCTTACAAAACTGGGAATATAAACGTACGTATGCTGTGTTTACATACCAGTGACTATCGTCTGTTTATTTAGAGTCACCCGGTGTGTGTGTGTGTGGTCCTTCCGTGGCCTTGAAGCACACAATTTGGTAATGAATACTACAATAAAATATTTTACATTTAAACATTGTGTTGCGTGAATTTTGAAACATCCTGTAGATTAGTCATCCACTGAGTCGCCAAATAAATAGCGGGATCTGATTTCAAAATTCTTCCTGTGCTAATTAAATTACATCTTCTTCACCAGCCATAACAGTCCAGACAATAATACGGCTGTCTTCTGGGTTATTGCGATGAGTCCTGATGATGGAGGCGGCACGTACCTCTGAAACGTCGGTTGATTATCTTATTTGCACTACTAAGCACTTATCATCCGATCTTTTTAATTTAGCGCAATCCTCTAACGCGCCACTTTGTGACTAATGCTGTAGTCGATCAGAATGCACCAGTTTTAAGGTTAACTAACTACTCATTTTACCCACAGAGTGAATGTTTTATGATTCCCAGAATAAACAGAAATTATTTATTTATTTATTAAGGAATGTTAACTAATTCAATTTTGCAATGGAGAAGCGTTGTGTTTTCTGTCAGGTGGAAACTAAATGTTTAAATATCACTTTTTAAAAAATCTGAATTGAATTTAATATAATTTGTTCTGTTTTGTTGAGACAGGATTCTTTTTTGTATTTCAGCTGTACAATTCGTATTCACCCTTCGACTTTTCGTTTTGTAACCTTATGCATTCATTTTCGCCCTCGTCACTTCTGTGTCCCGTTCAATTCCTTTGGTACTTCCTATTGAAGTGCAGCGAGGCAAAATATCCCCCCCCTGCCCAGCCATAGTACTTGCTGGGATTTGACAGCCCCCTGCTGAGGCTGTTACGATGTGATCTGAGTTCCATTTTTAAATAAATTTTAAAAATGAAGGAGAGAAAATCGTGGCCTTGCTACACTAACAAAGGTGCGACCGTGAAGCTGTCTTCAACTTCCAAGTAATTTAGAGGGGGCTAGAAAAAGATGAATGGATATGAAGGGAGAAGAAAACATAATGTTTTGTTCAACTGTTCGTTTCCTGTATCGTGTGACTGGGCAAATGTTGATCCAGGATGTAGATTCATACCACGCTGTGAATGCTTAAATGTTTGGCGTGTCTTCCATGTGTGGAACATTAAGCAGTAGAAAGTTGAAGCCAACTGCTACTTCGTTTTACAAAGTAAGCTCTGGATTATGACAACATAAGCTAACTTCGGCTTCCGGGGGATAAACCGCGCCCTTTTTTTGGTGTGGAGTCCTGAAACATTTCGTCAGAATTTGTAGCTGAGACTTTCAAGGTGAAGGTCTGGCAATTTGAGTTGCTCGCCCAATCAGATCACTCTCAATTCCAGCCACAAAATTTCTGCGAGAAATTCCCAACGCTACATCACAGACATTTCAGACAGACGGTAACTTTCTGACACGAACGTTTTGGACCTGAGACGTAAACACGAATGTTAGAGGGAAATTCACTTAACAGTGACATTACTATAGCAAGGTCCAAAATCCACAACCAAACTATTACAGACAGAGCCGTTTTCATTCGTGGGGGGGACATAATTTAAATATATCAATAAGAAACAGGATATATATTGTTTAAATCTTGTCCGTCTAATCACAATAAATTCTTATTAAATATTAAAATATTACAATATCTGATAAACATCTGATAAAAAATGTACGCTAAAATAATATATAGAAATTGTATTTAAGTTATTATTGATTTGAATCTTTATATAATTATTTACACCTGAAGATAGTTCTTTTAGGAACTGAAACATGTCGTGAAAAATGATGATCTAATGTAAATCGAATATTTCGATAAAGAACATCATTTAATATTTTAAATGTTATTATTGTAATATTTTAATATTTAATAAGAATTTATTGTGATTAGACGGACAAGATTTAATATATATTTAATATATACGAAAATATTTTTTAAAAACCTGGTACCATCTGAGATACTAACCACGACATTTTAGTAAACTATTGAGAAGGCAAGAATATCTACTTTACAAACGTTCGGTAATAATTAAAATTAATGTACACCATTTCTTCCATCCAAAGCAAGAAGATATTTTGGGACTTGGAGTTTGTTCTGAATACTGATTCATTCATCTGTCGTCTTCTAGGGGAATTGTTCTAATTTGCCTTGTTACAAATGGCCAATAATGAGATACTTCTTTGGTAGTCTTTTTTCATTCGTTATATATGTTCCTGACAGTTCCATTTTTCCGTTCAAGTTCATATTTGTAGCAGTTTCTTAGCGCCTTCATTTTTAATTTTGGTCTTCTCGTCTCATATCTATCATTGATACCCTGAATCTCATTTCAGCAGCTGTAGTCTTTTTTATGTGTGTGTGTGTGTGAAGACAATATTCTGTTTCAGTATCTTACAGGGACTTCATTTAAACATTTTTAATTTATTCTCCTTTATTCTTTTATTTCACTCTTCCCCCCCCCCCATTTCTCCAGAAATACGATGTATAAATTCTTACAGACGAACAAAGTTTTCAGAGAACTATTGTTCACTTTTCTAACATTCTAAAATCAATATCGACTTTTCCACTGAAGAACAAGTTCATCTAAGTCGTATTTTTTTTTAAAAATAATTTCTTACTTCGAAGAAAACACGACGCGTCTCCATTACAAATATCAGCTGGTTAATGCTGTTTAGTATAAAAAAAAATTAAAAAACTTTATTCTGAGAATCAAACTAATTACACTCAGTGGGCAAAAATGTAGAGTTAGTGACCTTTATATACAGTCGCACATATGTTAACACTTTGTTTCAAAACGTTAACTTACTGGGTACTTATAAATTCAGTTGTCTGTATTCTACCCGATAGTCTTCTACATTATGCCACAATTATTCATACACTAAATATTTTGATATGACACAACTAATCTTATAATAAATATTTATTTTCAGGTATCAAGCGTGTTGCGAGTGGCGGGCACGGGTTATTCATATGGAGGGTTCTTGCTACAAACCCAGTATTCAAGGCAGGAGCGAGATAATGCCTAAACTGGCTCTGGGTACCACCCAGCCTCCTATTCAATGGATATCAGGTGCTCTTTTTCACTTCAATCCAGTGGCGAGGTCAACAGGACAGGAACTACCTCCTTACTCCCATATGTCTTCGTGGCACGATGTTTGGTAAGTACCATGACAACTTTACTATAAAAGTTTGGTATTTGTTTGCTTACATGTATCGTTCATAGAATATCAAAGTTCTCAAGAAAAGAAGCTATACGGAAAATTGTTCCATTTTTCACGTGTTATCTCAGAAGCTTCTACAAGTTGGCTTTGCCCGAATTTATAACTTGTGTTGGGCAAGGCCGTGGTCTAGGCAACACGGAGTTTTCCTCCGGGGGCTTCTTCCCCGGTTTCTCCGTGGCATCCCAACAATTACTCCATTCACACACAGAAGAAGGCAATGGCAAACCACTTCTGGATCATCTGCCAAGAACGTATATGAACAGGTCCCAGTCCGAGAAAAGGATGGAAGGATCCTGTTCATATGGACCTGTCGTCAGACAGAACACTAAAAAGAAAAAAGTACGTAGCATGGCTGGTGTTTTAATTGTCAAAGGAAAGGCAGAAATAGGGAGAGAGGGCGATGTAAATAAACTATTCCCCCGTTATATTTCAAGAGACAGCTGATAAGGGGTGGTCCTCAAGCTTAAGGTTTGTACGAGCTACAAACCCCTCACCGTTAAAATATCATGTTGAAAATTGTTGCATGATGATCGGACACAATAAAAACTCATCCCTTCGGGCCGATGTTTGAACCAAGAACCTCCCAAACTGCACTGTCTGTTGGAATACAAGCCAGGATAATTAATGCCGAGTTCTGATACCCACCTAATTATCGGCAGTTTGGAATCGTTGAATGATACATTTAACCTTCAGCGAATTTCGAGAGACGTGTACGCGGAGGTACTTTGCATGCATTCGGCACAGCTCAGGGAACCCATAAAAGTCAACAAACACCCCCCACCCCCACCCCCGTCGGGAAGTTCTGGTTCCACAGGCTAAAATCTGAAACTGTTTTCTTTAGAATACAAGAGAGTAGCATTACCGCCATGCTAACCTGTTTGGTTTTGTACATAGTAAATATACCGTAGATACACAGCATTTGTGGCACCGCAGATCCTATCAAAGGGAATTGAGGTTTACATGCAGACATCATTGAGAACCAAATCTCTGATTTAGTACAACCAATGACGTCTTTAGACTGGTCCATTGATGTCAACTACAAAAGACTTTGATGTCATAGGTAGTCTTCCGACTGCACACAGACTTGCAGCAATACAGTTTACAGGCAAGGCGAAATTACTTTCTTATCAGTCTCCTCGGTGGATATGCGATGTTCTTGAGCTGCCAGGATCCTAATGCAGGCCCTGTCAGTAACAGACTCCGAAATCTGTAATGATGATAAGTTTGTGGGCTGATGTTAAAGTCACAAGTGACGGTAGCAGTTTGTTTTGACGTGTTCTAGAGACTGAATGAGTGAGTCTGCAGATAGGTCAGTAAGTGGATGTACAGATAAGTGACTGGATACGTGATTAAATGGGCATGCATGTGAGTGGATAGGTCAGCTAGCACGGCGGTGGGTGAATCAATATGTGAATGCGCGTGTAGGCATTGCCAAAGACTTGCCAAAACGGCTACGGAAACCTATGAAATGCTAAAGCAAGCATTTGGGGAGTCCGCAATGGGTCGTGCACAAACTTTTGTGTGGCATTCACGTTTTAAAAATGGCCGAACCTCTGTCGATGATGACGAGCGTTCTGGACGACCATCTTCGAGCACAACGCCCGAAAATGTTACGAATATCGACGTCGTACCATCAACGACTTGTGCGACCTTGTTGGGATAGGCTATGGGACCTGTGAGCTGATTCTAAAGGAAGAACTCCACATGCGACGCATCATGACAACGCGCCAGCGCACACCGCCCTCAAAGTTCGGCAGTTTTTGGCCTCAAACACCATGGCCGTCATCCTGCACCCTCCTTATTCGCCGGATTTAGCTCCGTGTGACTTCTTCCTCTTCCGAAAGATGAAAATTCAAGGGAAGGAGATTTGAGACGATAGAAGAGATTCAGGCAGAATCGCAGATGGTGCTTGACAGGCTGGCAAAGAAAGATTTCCAGGGATGCTTCCAGGCTTGGCAGCGGCGCTGGGGTCGTTGTGTTCACTCCCAGGGGAACTACTTCGAGGGTGATGGATGAATTTAATACCTGAGATAAGTGTACGGGTTTTTATAGGCGCAGTCTGGAAACTTTCCGATCGCACCTCGTATGTTGGTAGGGGATGAGTAGGTGTGTTGTTGGTGAGTGCCTGTGTGAGATAGTAGGTCAGTCAGGGATAAAAAAGAGTGAAAATATTTATATTTGTGGATGTGTTCCGGGTAGTTTGCATTGAAGAAATATCCAATAGCATGCTAGATGGTGTAAGTGCTTCAGCACTGCACATAATATAGAAAAGTTGAGTGAAGTAATAACATATTTTCAAAACTTCACTTTTGAATATGAATAAATTATAAAATGACTCGTGAATTATGAAATAAGTTGAAATACGTTGTCAGAATTGTACGGCCCCTATTAAATACTGGGTTATAAAACATTGTTATTTGATGTGAATGATGGTTCTCTCTCGTGGTACCGTGTAAATGTAGACTGTTTCGAAGACCATTACTGTTGCCATCTTCAAGATAAAGAAAGCCTGAAACCTTCAAGATTCTCACTTGCTTCGTAATTGAAATTTTATGTTAAATCTTCTGTGATATATTTTATTGTATCTCTGTCCAGCCACGAGACATCCACTGATTTCTTTGTGGAGTATCTGAGTACATTTATGTTGATTCTGTTACAGCATCCCTCATGATTCCCAATACCATATTAAGCGCAGATCCGTAGATCTGCTTTTGTATTGGAATGCTGAATTCGAAAGTTTATGAGAACTGGGGGGCTTTGTGTTTAAATTTAGGAAATGGATCTTTAAACAATCGAAATGAGACTTCCACGAGAAATGACAAAAAAAGAGAGACTCAAAGCACATTGACGTTAGCTAAGCCAGAAAGGGGGCGGGGAATTGCAGACGCAAAATGGAGACAAAATAAAACACGGGATACTACTACAGAGAGAGATAAAACTGGTGTTAGGGAGGAGGACAGAGAAGGGAAAAACAAATGTTAGAACCTACAACCTAATGTTTCAGCGACTCCCGATTTAGCATCGCATCCATTTTGTTGTTAGCTTGGAAGCGAATCGGAATAGGTTCAACTGCCATCAACACGCTGACTGCCCTAACCGCGTCCCTGTATACATGACTCAATTCCACAGCACGCTGCTAAAACGTAAATCTGAGATTTGAAACAAACTTCTCCTGCAATCAATATCTGGTTTATATATCCTATGTAACTGAACAAATCGACTAAGACTCTTTAAAGAAGATGATATTATTTGTACTTGATCCGAGTGCATTTTGAGGGCGTTATTTTAACATTTTACATTCACTGTATTCTGGGAATTCATAACTATCTGCTCCTCCGTTCGTCGGTCACGTTGAATTTCCAAGTTAAACGAAGTGTTTAAATGAACTCTCGAATCGGATGTCTGATAAAAGTTTATAACGATTCGTAAAAAAGTTAAACAGTAGTTGGCAAGTAATCTAATATTTCAAGAAAAATAAAGCCACCTCATTACATATTAATGTTGGTACTTGAGGGGGGGGGGGGGGGGGTATAGCTCCTGCTTATTCTCAACCACGGCACTAGAAGGGGGTGAATAGTCAGCTTCAAGCTCTGGCCGCGGGAAAGTACCCCCCGGTACCCACTAGACAGGAGGCGGGGGTGAGCACCAGAGCTGGTATGGACGCAGAGGCTAGAAGAAAATCCTCTGCCTCTGTCGGGGATCGAACCCCGTTCGCCCAATCCGTAGCCAGTCATTATACATAGTGAACGAAAATGGGTTTGACGTCTTTTGTCCAGCGCCACACAACGGCAAAGTGTTTACTTTACCCAACTTTCGAAGGAACATTGTGACTCCATCATCAGGGCTAAAGACCAGAACTTTTTTTATAAATAGATGCATGCGACGGAAAATATAAAGTTTCAAGATATTCGAAAGGGGGAGAATTATGTGTTTGGGCTCGGAGTTAAAAAAGTGGTTACTGACAAGAACGTGTTTTGTCAGTAACATGGTACAGTTCATGCTGATAGTCTGCAAGATTTTACGGCCGTGTGTGTTGTTGTAATGCATTTCAGATGTACATCAATCACCTACCTAGGATTATTTTCGAACGTCGTGTTTATCATCCACAGACCATTAGTTGCTTGGTTGATGTTGATTTAGAACGTTCTGTACAGTGTTGCTTCCCCTTATAGCGTCTGACAAGTTACTACTCGCAGATGTCTTCAAAAATACGTGTCTTGATTCAACAAGTGTTTTAAAAATATCACTGTAATCTCTCGTCACTTCATTAGCACTCGTCACTATAATTTGTTTCTTGGTCATGGATTGAGCGTATTTGAAGTTCGATCTCTATGTTACTGGGACCATTTTTACAATTCTAATTATTTTTTACCTTTTAAAGTCTGTGATTAAGAGTCTGTTTTTAAATCCCTTTGCCCCTGCCCGTCCTCGTCCACGAGAGATGAACAATTACGAAGCAAATGATTAAAATACAGTATGTCCCTAAAAGACGTATACACGACAGCAACTTTGGTGTCCGCTGTCAACAGCGCCACGAATCTAACCGTGGTCAGTTTGAACACCTGAACTAGATTCGTTAATTCATTAAGTGTCAATGCTGACGTATGTAATGGTTTAGTTTATTAAAATATCTTTATTTCATTCACTGAATGCGTGTATACATCTTTATACGACATCCTATATACGAAAAAATTCTTAAAAGAATGTTTGACCATAAAAGTAAGTATGTAACAGGAGGTTGGAAAATTTGTTTTATAAATATCTGCATACTTTGTACTTTTCACCAAGTATTGTTAGGGTGATAATTTTAATCACCCTTTTGTTCTGGAACACTCTCGATTTTGATCTTCCACAAGAATGAGAGATAACCTTTCACACCCAAGAAAAACAACAGACACTCGTAAACTTGCAATATTTTTTTTTAAATATACCTAATC